TCAATATTATTTTTAAAAACAATTAAAACTTCATGTAATAACAAATCCTGAAGGTATTTTTTTCTTTTTCACCATCAATCCAACGATTTTTAAAATAGGGATGAGAAATAGTTGCCAAAAATGCACTTTTAAAATTGTTATCAAAATCATATATATTTTTAAATCTTTTATTTAAATAATTTTCTATGGCAACAGCTAATGGTTTGCAAAATTGTAGATTGGTTTGAATTAAATTTGTAATTTTTTTTAACGACATTTAAAATTGGAGCTGATTCTCCATAATAGCAGTTGATTTCACTCTGTATTTATCAATCGCTATAGCCAATTGGGCCATTATATTGCAATATTCTTCTAAATATTGAATTCAATATCTCTTAATTTAGGAAATTCTAATTTTTGACATAATTTAGGAAGTTCGCTTTTAAATTTTAATAAACTATGAAGACTATCATACAAACTATTCCATCTAGAGCAACAAGGCGTAACTTATTGTTTTCCTAAAACTGCTTTGATAAGTTCTGCAGTTTTAGGCCTATTATTTGCATTCCATAGCTTAGTACATTTGCTATTGCAGGATGATGAATTTTAGAAATGTTAGTATAATAACTCTCTCGACATCTGTTGTGGCAATTAGACTTATCGTATGGCACAAACAACGAATGTGTTGAGGCAATGTTATTGAGGCTTCTTTAGACCCTTAAATAAACAAATAATAATTTTATTTGAATAAAAATTTTACTAAATTTACAATATATAATAAATTTTAAAGAAGTATTAAATAATACTTTCAATGATTTCGAATTCTATACATTCATCATCATTGTTGTCAAGGTCATTCTCTACAGCTTCCATAGATCCAAACTCCTTGATAGCTTTCTTAAAGTTAGAGCCATTATCTGTAACAGTTGCTATAACTTTTTCGTCAATACCAAAGTCACGATGAATTTCTTTATTATGATCATCTTGAAGTACTTCAAAAAATTTGCCATTAAGTATGCTTAGTTTAAATTTATTGTTATAATTTTCGGTTGAAGAATCATCTGAAGACGAAGATAAACATATTATTCTATTTTCTTCTTCCATAATTTTAAAATAGACATAAAACGATTCAAATATGGTAGTTCTAATTGTTAGCAAATTGCTATATGAAGACCAACGTCATATATCAAAAATTATCTTAAAATATCTAAATTTTGATTAAATTTTTCATTTAAATCTTAAACAATATCTTTTTAAATTTTAATACTATTTAAATTAACCAATATAAATTTTTTTTAAAGTATCTGTATCTTTTTGAATACAAAGTTGGTTAAGATACAAATACTTTTAAATAACATGTATCTTAGATACTGAATACAAGATAGAAAAGTATCTTGTATCTTGTATCCTAGATACAAATATCCGCGATACTGCCCAACCCTGCCCCACGCTTATAAATATATATCGTGATTAAAACAAATTATACTGTTGTTGCTTTTTCTGATTTATATATTACTATTCGTACATAATATAATTCACCATTCCTTCACTATTATATTACATAAAAAATCTTCGACTTATATTAAAATATAACGTCAAGTACAAAAGCCATAAAGGCCGATATACTTGGCTAAATTAAATAATACATAATTTTTCTAGATAGCTACTTGTAATTCAAGTTTACTTACATTCTTCTAATATTTTTTAAAATAGTTAAGATCTATCAATAAAAAAGGAATATACTTTTATAAGAATAATATAATAGGCTTTCGAGCTTTATCATTGGCCTTTTAAACGATAAAATTTAATAGATCAGTGCATATATAATTTCAGTGGAATAAATTTGACCTTGAAACATTTAGTAAGCTCATAAAAAAAATTTACAATGATTAAATAATGGCAAAATTAATAGAATGTCTGTCGCTGCACTAGATTTTGTTTTAGTGTACCGTAATTTGTTTTTATTAATTTTGTTATTAACTTTTACATTTTAATTTCGGCTATTAAACTTCTTGTTATCAACGGAGAACTAAAAAATGAATATCCATAATTTGTCAGGTCGAAATTTGACCTTGAAATATTTATTGTTGATAAACTCATTTTCCTTTAATTTTTTTGACATTGCGTTTGAAGAATACGGAGGATCGATTAAGCTACTAAATATTGGCTATAACTAAAAAAATGATTGCTCAAATTTTTAATTTTGGCAAGGTGCCAAAACCTTTCTATTTTGCTTATAACTCACGAACGGTTCATTCTGTTGATATGCGGTTTAAAGATTCTGGAGGATCAATTAACGCACCACAATTTGGTATAGTTTTTGGTAATTGATCCTCACTTTTTAAAAAAATTCTTACAACTTCACGCTTTAAAAACAGGTCATAACTCGGTTGCGGTTAGTGATATCGATATCCAGTTTGGATAATATTAACGCACAAATTAAAGCTTAAATAATTGCCAAGTTTCAGATCGTGATCTTTTATATTTTCGGTTTTGGCAAAGTGCCAACACTTTCTTATTTTGCTCATAACTCAGTAACGGTTCATTCCGCTGCTTTCCGGATAGAAGATCAATTAGGATCAATTAATGGGCTATACAATGATATAAGTTTCGGTAATTGATCCTCAAATCATTCTTACAGCTGCAAATCTTCGCACTTTCATTATTTTGCTTATAACTCAATAGCCTTTAATTTTTTTGACATTCCGTTTAAAGAATATGGAGGATCAATTAAGGTACTAAATATTGGCTATAACTAAAAAAAATGATTGCTCAAATTTTTAATTTTGGCAAGGTGCCAAAACCTTTCTATTTTGCTTTTAACTCACGAGCGGTTCATTCTGTTGATATGCGGTTTAAAGATTCTGGAGGATCAATTAACGCACCACACTTTGGCATATATTTTGGTAATTGATCCTTACTTTTTAAAAAAATTCTTACAACTTCACGCTATAAAAACAGGTCATAACTCAGTTGCGGTTAGTGATATCGATATCCGGTTTGAATATTATTAACGCACAAATTAAAGCCTAAATAATTGCCAAGTTTCAGATCGTGATCTTTTATATTTTCGGTTTTCGCAAAGTGCCAACACTTTCTTATTTTGCTCATAACTCAGTAACGGTTCATTCCGCTGTTTTCCGGATAGAAGATCAATTAATATCAATTAACGGGCTATACAATGATATAAGTTTCGGTAATTGATCCTCAAATCATTCTTCGCACTTTCATTATTTTGCTTATAACTCAATAACCTTTAATTCTGCTGATGTCTGGTTTGAAGATCAATTAAGACTCTAAATAATGGCATAGGTTTTGTTAATTGATCCTTACATCGTTCTTACAACTTCACGGACCTATAAAAAATTTATTTTTCTTTTATAAAAGAATAAGCAATTTTTTATTTGCTTTCCTAATGCTTATTTTTTAATCGTAAAATTAAACAATATCATAACATGATTTTCTATTTATTTATTAAAAAAATAAGCAATATTAGATTTGCTTCCCTCTTGTATATTTTTTTTAACTTAATAAAAAAATTACACCAAAAAAATATCGTATGAATCATGATTTATTATAGGAAAATAAGCAATATTAAATTTGCTTCCATCATTTTTTAACATAGTAAATTTTTTATCGTAGTAAAATATTATAAATCTTTTTAACGTTATAAAAAATATATTAATTATTTTGAGCAAGTAATTTTTTTTTTTTAGCATAGTGTAAAGATTATACTAAGTTTATCTAAGAATTTTGTAAAAAAAATTCCAAGGAAAGCAATGCTTCCCTTGCTTCTATGGACGCTTCGTCCCTGCTCTGACATCCTTTCAGCACTGCGTATTTTTTAACACAATTGAAATACATGTGAATCTGGTCTAAAATCCTTAAAACATCTCTAAGTTCTTTTATCAATTGGCATAATTTAACAATGATTAGATATAATCAATGACTACATCACATAATAAAAGCTACCCTTGAGATCTCAACTCTAATCAACGCCTGATCTCCTATAATCTTTCCATTCATTTCTAAGGCACTATCATAGCTTTGCCCAACTAAGAATTAGAGGAGTAGATTCATGGAACTAGGTTTGCATTTATTTTTTTCAATATCAAGTTTCCAATATATCTGTAATAAAGCTATTGCCTCTGATTCAAAACATCATATGTACCACATCAACTGTAATTGAAGAACACCTGTTAAATTCACTATCTTTTTAATTTTTTTTATAACCATATTTTTTATGGTACTAATGAGAATATTTATATTATTATAAGATAATAGATTAGAATATAATCTGGATTATAATCCCATTTGTTTTTTCTCCCTTCTTTTATTGAATATACAATTTGAGGAGAGTTTCAGAATCTGCAATAGTTTAATAATGTCTTTAAAAGCTACTATTTCAAAGCTTTTCTTTATATATTAAAATTTTGCTCACCATGTTATTTTCTATTATGCTCTTTTCATTTAACATCTCTTATATTAATATACATATTATTTTTTATTGATGAAATAATGTGCTTCTCCTTTATAGAGCTTCTAAACTTTTACAATCTAAGGGGGCTCAAAAAATTTTTTTTAAATTATAATCAAAATTACTTTTTAGCTTACTATTTTCAGAATGACCTTTTTTTGGTAACAGTTATAAAATGACCTTTTTTGTTAACATTTTCAATGACCTTTTTTATTTCAAAATTTTAAGGGGGCTTCTCAAATTTTAGGTGGCTTGAGCCTCAGTGTGCCCCTCCCCCACCTACTGACACTACTGCATAATTATAATGTAAGTTTGCATATAAGAGTTCAAACTAGCTTTTATAGTTCAAACCATCTGAGCCATTATTTTTATCTAAGACCAAACTAAACCATTATCAAGCAAGAGAATAAATTGATTTTTATTTAATAAAAAATTGATTTAATCATTTTAACCTTGATCTATATTTAAATTTAATTTTATTAAATATAAATTATTAAAAGATAATACTCTATCAACATAGTTTTAATATTCTTACAATCAGGCATTTACTTATATTATAAAAAATTAGTACATTCTCATTTATCATTAAAAAAACATATATTTAAATTTTCTAAAATATAAAAAAGTGTATAAAAATTTGTATACAATAACAATTAAATCATTCTACCTATGTATATTGCTCTGTTATATTGATTTTTTAATGACTGCCATTGAACAAAAAATAAATCAGATATTATATATAAAATTTTGCCAGATAATGAGAGTGAGTGTGTTCTACAGACACTTTCAATATAGACAACAGTAGGCAATTTAAATAATCCTAAAATCTGATATACCAAGGCAGCTAAACATATTGGAATACATGTTCCAGGGCCATTTGTTAAAATCATATCAGGCCTTTCATTATATAATAATAGAAAAGATTTATATAATGCTAGAGTAGTAGGTTTAAATATAGTGAGCCATGGTTGCTGAACTTCTCTACAACGTGGAATTTTTACAACACTATATTTTTTATCATTTAACTTGGTCAATTCATTTTCAGATTCTAATGCCTTATGTTGATCATCATTGCTATTATCAATTTTAATCTTATCAGTTTTTTTAAAAATGTTGTTACAATGTAATTTAATTTTTGCTAAACTATGATAGTCTGTTTCTGCGATTACAAAAACTAAGGGAGAATATTTGTCAGGTGTTAAATATTTAATTAATCTAAGCATTTCCATGGTATGACCTCCAGAACCTAAAATAATTAAAGTCTTTACTGGAATTAAGACTTTTGAGGATGTACCATCAGAATTTGTTTGAATTACATAAAATTTGCGTTTTTTCCGTAAAATTGTTTTAACCATAATAACCCTTAACAAGAAAACCAAAAATCCGCAAATTATATACTTTGACACCATAATTATTTTTTCAAAGACCGCACAAAGTTTTGTAAAAGTGATATAAAATTACGGTCGTTTCTAAAAATGAAATAATTGACATTCAGAAAATAAACGTGACTAGAATCTGTTATTTGACATTGGAAGTTTTCAACTATTTTAATAGTCAATTTTTTATTGAAGAAGAAATCCTATGGGCCATATTATAATCAACGAAGATTGTGTATTAAATTTTTATGATAGTTATGTCCAATTATGATTTAGATTAGTATAATAAAAAGATTTACAAATTATTACAAATTTTAATATATTGGCAATAAAAATAGTAGACACAATATTATGCTGACTTTGTGGTAGATCTTAGCAGTATACAATAAAAATTTGAAAATTATATACAAAATATTTTTTTAGTTATTAGAAAACTTCATATACATAGATTCAAGGAAAAAAAAGATCTATTAAGAACAATCATCTATTTTGAAAATACAAAAGTAATATCAAAATAGAACCATAATTATGATAACTCAATTTGAAACGGATGGAAATCCCAAGAAAAATAAATATATTGTTACAGATAATGAAATAAAAAACTTATACAACAATAATTTTATAAAATATTAATTTTCTTGATAATATTGCTAAAATCAATTGTCCCAGTTTACTGAATTATATTGGATTAAAATTATATTAAGGTTTTTGATCTATATTGTTATTAATTGATATTATATAATATTTATTGAATTTATATATTATATATACGAAATAAAATTGATTTTACCAAATTGAATAGATTCAGTGTCATAAAATTAGTACATCTCCTTATCAGTGGCGTCACTAGAGGAGGACGCGCAGGGACTAGATGCCCCTAAAAAATTTGAATATCCCCCTAAAGCAAAAAATTTATTTTTAATGGCTCCTTAATATCCCTTGAACTAAAAAGAAATTTTTTTGATTGCCCCGTGAGCGATTTCTTTTATAATTTTATTAAGTAATATATAGATTTAATTTATTATTTAAAAATTAATAAGACTATCTAAATTTTTATTAAATAAATACTATTTTAATTATTAGATTATATTAATATTTAATAAATTATATTTTCATTATGTCAGCTTTTCAATCAAATTCTTTATTAAAAATAGAATATCAATATCACTAACTAAATATATATTTAGTATTAACAGTTGAAGCTTAATTGACTTTTATTATTTAAATAATTATATAACCCTATAAATAAATATAATCATTATTAATTGAAAATTAAACCGAGTTCAAAATCATTAGTCTATATTATTCATTTTTAAATTTAATTACCATGCCTCTAATATTTTCAAGATGCAAATAAGTATAAGTAGACCTGTGCACCGATGTCTCAATCAACGGCGGCAGTTTTTTTAACGGCGTTCGGCGGCGCGCCGATTTTGCCGCCGTCTACTAAATTTAGGCGGCGTCGGCGCCTTATTTATTTAAAAAAATTTTTAATGAATTTAATTTAAAAATCAATTAATTTTTTAATGAATTTAATTTATAAATTAATGTATTACATTTTTTATAATTTATTTGGGCGATCTTTTCTAACAAATTGTTAACATAGTTTAATTGATCTTAAATTATTTCCTGTCTCACTCCAATTTAAATTTATGTATTTTCTCATTCTCAGAAATAGACTAAGGAATTGCATTTTTACTCATATCAGAGTCACATCAACAACACATATAAGAAATATTCTATTATTGTTCCTATTTTATTTAGAATAGGAATTTTGTTTACACTGCGAACACTTTCTAGCATAATTAATATGCTAAGCCAGTGGGTAGGGCAATTTAATTTTTGCATTAATTAGATTGGTTGGTGTAATGCCATTTCTATTATCCCATTTATCAGGCATATCAAAATGGTCATCAAGGTATAGATCAGAATCATCAATATCCAAGATATTACCTGTCTCATAAATTGACTGCAGACATTTACGATGTTCAGTCTCAATTTCGCATTCCAAATAGCTACTCGATATCTAAGGGCTGAAATAATTTCTCTAATTTTTTTAATGAGAATATCAATTTTAGTAACTTTCTTTATGCCATCAATTGTAACCAAATTATGAAGTCCTAAGCATAACTGATGCTCATAATTACCTAATCTGACGCTTCTTTTGAAATTGGCCCCAGCATCAGTTACCATTTGTATTATTTTGGCTTTTAAATGGAACTCCTCTTCAATACTATCAATCTCAGATAATATTGTTTCCACAGTATGCTTTTGAGTCACTTTCTAGTTGCTAGGGTAAAATATTTTAAATCAAAATTTTCATCTAAATGATGAAGACTAAATGTGAAATTTCGATGCTTAAAATGATCGGTCCATAAATCAAAAGTGATAAAATAAAAATTTAGGTCTAGAATCAATAAGATTTAAAACATGGGCCTTTATAGATAAATAAACATCGTCTAGTGCACCCTGACTAATGGTTGTCCTATTTGGCAATTCTGACGACGAGGAATCAATTATCTTATATTTCTATTTTTTAGGCAATTTATTTTTTATACTAATTTTATATAAATTTTAAACCTTAAGAAAATCTGTCATTCCTTTATTTATAGAATCAAATGACATTAAATCTAAGCAGCATATCAAAACATAATTTCGCCCTATTAGATTTCATATTAATTTTAAACATTAAAAAGATATTTAAAAAACATCAAAATAATTAGAGCTGGGATGAAACAAATTATAAATTAGATTTCGTTTTAACTTTCAAAATAAAGCAAAGCTTTACATAATTAATTTAATAAATTATATATTAAGTTTATTACTAAGAAAGATATTTAAAAACAAAAAATTAAGCTAAAGTAAAGTAAAGTTTTAAATAATTAATTTAATAAATTATATATTAAGTAATACTTTAAAAAGATATTTAAAAAACATCAAAATAATTAGAGCTGGAATGAAACAAATTATAAATTTGATTTAGTTTTAACTTTCAAAATAAAGTTTTACATAATTAATTTAATAAATTATATATTAAGTTTATACATTAAAAAGACATTTAAAAAACATAATAATTAGAGTGGAATGAAACAAATTATGAATTCGATTTAGTAGTAACTTTCAAAATAAAGTTTTCATAATTAATTAAAGTTTAAATATTAAAAAAGATCTCAAAATAGAGCTGGCAATAAATAAATTAAAAATTTAGTTATTTTGAACTTTCAAAATAAAGCTTAATAAAATTAATTTAACAAACCAGTTAAAAATTTTAAATGAAAAATAATAAACAATATTACAAACCTAAGAGCCATTTTTTATCTTTTATATTGTTGCTGTATTTTTAGTTGGCATTAAAAACATTTTTAGACTTTGAATGGATTTATAATTATTCATTTTTTCTGATAGTTTGTGATAATTAATTAAGTGCCAAGATAGATTACTTGTACTTATATTTTTCTAAAACATTTTATTTCATAACTAAAATATATATAAATATAAGTCTAAAATAAAAATAAATTACTGTGAAAATGAATTATGTTTATTCGAATCTTCCTCATCTTTTTTCGCCAATTTTAAGCAAGGTTCACAATAAATATAATCAGGCATTATTGTGCTTTTCTTATTTTCATTCTTCAAAATAAGATTTCCAAAGTACCTCCAGACATAACTTGATTTATGAGATTAGTAGAGAGATTTGTTATTTCATAATTGTATATAGGGTGGTTTAAAACGTGCAAATCCATAAAAATAGTTAATATGAATTGTTTGTGGAAATAAAATATGATGTGTAGTCTATTATATATAGTAGTGATCTGCATCAGGCCTAATTTTTCAAGCCCGGCTACCCAAATTTTCTTTAGAAAAGTTTTGCAGGCCCGGCCCGAACCCGAAATTTTTTTTAAAAAAATTTACCGACCCAGCCCAGCCCGAATTTATTTAAATATAGAAATTAATCTTTATAATTACTCAAAATAAAAGACATGTTATATGTCGTTAGTTTCAATTCAATAAATAAAATCAAATATTTTTATTTTACATAAAAAATTCAATATAAATAAATTTATATATATTTAAAAAAATTTTCAAGGTTTAATCCGACCCGGCCCAAGTTTTTTTTAAATATTAGGCCCGGCCCGAACCCGATTATTTTAAATAGAATTAGGCCCGAGCCCGAAGTCCGTTCGGGCCGGGCCTAACTTTGCAGATCTCTAACATATAGCAATAGAATACAATTCATATTTTAATTTTATTAATGTTAGTATTCAAATTAGAATAATAATAATGTAATATATAAATATAATTAATATGCTTTCTAAAAATTATACAAGCCGCGCCGCTGCCATAATAAAAATTGGCGGTGAGCCGGCTTGCGCCGATGATCTCAATAGGCGGCTTTTCCGGCGTGAATAAAAATACCGGCGGTGCACAGGTCTAAGTATAAATAATTTCTTTAGAAAAAGTAAGTAGACATATAGTTTATAATCCTCTAATCTTAATTGCTTTTCATAGCCCTTTAGTCCTTATTTTTCAATTACTAAATGTTTCATTTCTAATATGCATCCTTGCCGTAGAAATAACTTAAGGCTTCAATATATTTGCATATTATCTTCTAAAGATTTTTAGTGTTTTTGTTTTAACTGTCTAGTCCATTATATATCATTTAAAATGGAAGATAATCTTTTAAAAATTTAATATCTCACAATAATTTTCTCGATTACTTAAGCTTCCATAATGTCATCTAAGATGAAGCTCTAAGCACCATATAGTTTTATGATTTGGATTGTTTGTTTATATTCTCTTCTTCAAGAATTGTTGATTTGGTTAGGCCTATTCCTTATTAGTCCATTCTATAAAACATTGTCTAAAATAGAGAGTTATATTAGTTTCATGAACTTTTGTCAATGTAAGTTGCTAAGAATTATATTATATTATATAGTTTTTTAAAACCATTATCAATTGAGGCATATGTATGAATTAATTAACCTTTTCTATAACCAGTAATTCTTTAGACACAAAATGTTTTATATCAGCAATCGAAAATATTT